CCCTGAGCCTTTCAGGGGAGGTCACTGCTTCTAGTACTGCCACAATTAGTTATTACCCAATACCTTTCTACAAGGCTGTTCTAGCACAGCTCCTTGTAGTAGCCAATGTCTTTGGAAGTTTTCCGTTTTAGAAAGGAAGGTCTGGCCTGTGCTGGAGCTGTTCCTCTCGGGGAGGGATGGTTAATGGCTGTCTTGTGTGTCCTCTGTCCCAAGGCTAAGAAGAAGCCACCACAGCTGCAGACTCCCAGAGATGTGTCTCCTGTGTTCCGTTCCTTTCTGAAGTCTTGCCTGACCCAGAAAGGGAAGCGTCGATGGACAGCCAGTCAGCTGCTGAAGGTAAAGTGGCTGCAGGTGAAGCAGCTGTCCAGGGAGGGGCTTTCTCATCAGCTAAATTCAGAGGCAGCAGGTGGCCTCCCCTCCTACTCATCTCTGGTCCTGGTGCTTTTCAAATGACAACTAAGTAGCATCCTAGAATAGTTTGGTTCAGAAGGGACCTTTAAGTGCCATTTAGTCCAACCCCTCTGCAATGAGCAGGGACATCTTCAGCCAGACCAGGTTGCTCAGAGCCCTGTCCAAGCCAACCAGGGATGGGGTATCCCCTTCCTGAGGCTTTCAGCACCCTCATTCTAAACAATGACTTGCTTGGATGGAACCAGAATCCATCCTCTTCTACTCAGAAACCACAACCCTTTGTCCCATTGCAACAGGCCCTGCTAAAAAATGGGTCCCCTTGAAGGACTGAAAGGCTACAATAGGCTCTCCCCGAGACCCTCTGTTCTCCAGGGCCATCTCTCCTTGCCTTTCCTCAGAGGAAAGGTGTTCCACCATCTGTGGCCCTGGCTTGGACTTTGGGAGTACACTTGGTTGTAGCTGGTGGCAAAAGACCTGGAGTAGAATAATAGCAGGAGCAGAGGGCTGAAATGGTGTTGGTGGAGGAGGAAGCCAATGAAGCAGTGGCAGCCAAGTGGTCAGAGAATTGCCTATGAGCAGGAAGGGTTGAAATGCAGACACTGCTCTCCCTGCAAGCCAGAGCTGAGTCCATCATGCTCTGCCCCTTGTGTCCCTGCTCTTGTCTGGGTGCTGAGAACCTCCACCTCAGTGCTCTTCAGAACAAGACACAGACCTGCATCCTCCTGCGATTGAGCTTTCTTAGAGGGATTGGGATTTCCCGAGGAACGGCTTGTGCTCCTCCTCATTTTTGACCCCTAAAATAGCCCAAGTCTTTAGAGAAGAGGAACCTAAGTGAGTCTCTTGAGTTTTATGAAATGGAAAAAGGCCTGAGACAGCAAGTGTATTGTGGGTAACCAGAGGAATTCCACTGCAATCTGTGAGAAACTGCTTTTGGATAGTAATGGCTCTTTCTTTCTTTTTTTTCCTTTGAGCAGCATAAGTTTTTGAAAAAATCCCAGAATCTTGACGAGCTGGCTCCTCTGATTGATGCAGCCAGGAGACACACAACACCAGCACCAGAACCTCTGCTGGCCTCTTCTGTTTCTGGACAAGAGAGTAAAGAAGAGCAAGGACAGAAGGATGTTGATAAAGCAAAGCCTGAAGGAATGAAATCAGTAAGTGCCAGATTAGATTAGCAGCGCCTTGGGTGTCATTCAGAGCTGCAAGTTCCTGAGCAGACAGGGACTGAAGAAGATTGTGAGGGCTGGAGGCCTGCCATGACACGGTGCTTCAGCCCAGCCACTGACACCTGCAAAAGGGGCTTTGAGCTTCCAACCTTAGTCAGTGTCCCTTGCAGGACACATAGGAATAATTATGTTATTTGGAATAACTATTCCTAAATACATAGGAATAACTGTGTCCCCTGGGGGTACTTGCCCCTCTGCGCAGCCTAGTTCAGAAAATCCATGAATATTGATCAAGAAATTGGCAGAGGGTCAAATTAGCCTTTTCTTATTGTGTGTAACTATGCAAGCTCTCAAGGCACAGAATGGGAACTGTCCCTGACATGACTGACTGTCCCCAGGGCACAAAAGTGGCACCAGAACCTCTTCTGGCTCCCTCTCTTCCTGGACAAGAGGGTGAAGAAGAGGAAGTGGACAGTGAAGCTGCAGCTGTTGTTGGAGCAGAGGAGCCTGAAGGCATTAAATCAGTAAGTGCCTAGCCACTGACACCTGGAAAAAAAGGGACTTTGAGCTTCCAAGTTTAGTCAGAGTGTTTCTTGTAGGAGACATAGGAATAACTGTCCCCTGGAAGTACTTGCCCCTCTGCATGGCCTAGTTCAGAAAAGCCATGAACGTTGAACAAGAAATTGGCAGAGGGTCAAATTAGCCTTTTCTTATTGTGTGTAACTATCCAAGCTCTCAAGGCACAGAATGGTAACTGTCACTGACATGACTGACTGTCCCCAGGGCACAAAAGTGGCACCAGAACCTCTTCTGGCTCCCTCTCTTCCTGGACAAGAGGGTGAAGAAGAGGAAGTGGACAATGAAGCTGCAGCTGTTGTTGGAGCAGCAGAGCCTGAAGGAATTAAATCAGTAAGTGCCCAGCCACTGACACCTGGAAAAGGGGTTTTTAACTTCTCATTTAGTCAGTTTCCCTCACAGGAGACATAGGAATAACTGTCCCTGGGGGTACTTGCCCCCTCTGCATGGCCTAGTTCAGAAAATCCATGAACATTGAACAGGAAACTGCCCATGAACTCGTGTACATCCAGTCTTTTGGCCTCA